GCAATTTTCCATCTTCGAACTCTCCAGAAACAATATTTTGCACATCTTGTAGAAATCCAAACCGTGAATCTAAATCTAGTAAGCGAGAAATCTTCTTGTTATTTCTGTAATCAAGCGATCAATAAAGTAGAAACAAATACTATGGTATTCTGTTTGATTCCACACCTGATTTAGCTCATTGTGAGCAATTGGCACAAGTGATTCGGTTTGTTGATATGAATTTTAAAAATGAATTTTAGAGAAGCAGCTGTTGATTTTGATTCTTTGAAAGAGAAATTGATAGAATCACGTGAAAAGTCCTGTCATGAAGCACTTAAAGTGGGAAGAATCAATGTGAAACATGGGGATTGACCATTGAAAGAAGAAAAATACGTCCTAAATGAATGCTAGGTGAAAATGCTGCTGATGGTGGATTGACTGCTGAACAGGAAATTTATCGCATCGTGAAGGATGAACTTTGATACAACAGATTAACCAGTTGTAACACATGCACATCGCACAGAGATTGATAAAGTTGGAGCACATGAATTTCAACATAAAGAAGGTCCATTTGATGCCAAAGGTGGGCGTTCTATGTCTTCATTTTGGTTCAAACGACGCCTTCTGAATGGACAAGAGGTCAATCGTTCCTGGTTGGTGTATTCACCTTTACATAAAGCGGCATACTGCTTTTCTTGTCTTCTTTTTTCATCTACATGTATGACATCCGATAGTCAGTCTGCTTTCAAAACACAGGATGGATTCTCTAAGTGGAAAAAAAATTGAAAAGTTAAATGCCCATGAAAATAGTGACAGTCATCATGAGTCATTTGCTGCTTGGAAAGAAACTGAGCGCTGAATTCGTCTTCAAAGTGGCATTGATGAAGATCTACAAAGGCAAATTCAGCAAGAAAAAAATAAATGGAGAGATGTTCAGTGATGGTTGCATGATTAGCTTCTCCGAATCTTGCATTTCGTGGTCATACTGAGGACTTAATCTCAGACGAAAACCCTGGAAATTTCCTGTCACTTTTGCAGTTATTAGTAAAGTATGAACCAGTAATGAGAGAGCATTTAGAGCATGTTAAAAACAAGAAAGCGTCAACATCTTATTTTTCTCCTGAAATCCAAAATGAGTTTATAAATCTCATGGCTTCACATGTGCGAAAGTATTGTTTGTCAGCAATTCACTGGGTGCAAAATTTTAGGTTTCTAGGTCCTTTCCTGTTTGAGCTATGGCGATCACACATACACAGATACGCACGTGCGCACGCACACATAGACATGTCTGTCTGTCTGTGATTTCGAATATAAGGAATCACTTCTTTTCTATGTGGTTTTTTGCTAGTTTGCCTCATTAAAAAAGATGCGCGCGCGGATAAGTAATTATACACTCAAACCCATGTTATCATGATTAAACATTTATATAACTTTTTACACTCAAACCCATGTTATCGTGATTAAACACCCGTATAACTTTATACACCAAAACCCATGTTATCCTGATTGATATTGTTGATATTGGTTCAGTGATAAATGTCGTTGTTATTATTAGTTCTATGGTTAAATATTATTATTATCGGTTCCATGGCTAAATATTGTTGTTATTGGTCTGTAATTCAGTATCGTTGTTATTGTTTCTATGGTTAAATGTTGTTGATTTTGTGGCTAACTTTTGTTGTTATTGGTTCTGCAGTGAAATGCTACTGTTATTAGTTATATGCTGGATGTTGTTACTTATATGACTTAACGTTGCTGTTCTTAGTTCTATGGCTAAATTTTATTAATTTCAGTGACGTAGAATTCATCTTTATAATTTTTCCTGAAAATTATGGCTAAATGTAGCTTGCTGCTGCTCTTACAAAAAGTTTATAAACATAAGCTTCAGTACATCACAATTTTATAGTATATGTTATTTAATTTTAAATTTAAATAGTTTGTCTTGTATGGTTTCCGACTGGGCCAGCCACCTATGTGTAAAAATTCTTGGCCGACCCCAAGCTTGTTGGGAATAACGAAAACAAATTATATATTTGTGTGTGTGTATTAGATGGTGTACCAGTTCAATACACGGGAAAATAATAGGAAGCATCAACGAATGCATAGAAGGACCTGGTCCGAATGTTGACCTTCTTATGCCATTCCACGGGTATGACATTATGGTGCTTTCAAATTTTGGTAGAGATCAATACAATAGCTTGGGGAACAAATGTGGGGCCCCGGAGAACATGGGGATCAGAACCGAATATCGGCCCATGTTTCACTCCCTGGAGTGAAGGCTGTAAGTAACGACGTCAAGTTTAGTTGAGATCGGTCAAAATTTATAGGTTTAAAAATCGAACACACAGACAGACAGTGACCCCTTGGGGAGTGGTATGGAGTGCCGAGCCAATCCTGTGGGGGCCTAAGTGTGCATGTTTGGTTGGGATGAGTGATAAAGTGTAACTATGAAAAGTGGACACACAAACAACACTTCTGCTTTACATATTTATATTAATAAAATATACAATGAAGAGTAACACGTTTTCCTAATTTACATACAACATATCAGCTTTAATGTTATCAGCTTTTATTAGATTGAAAGTTATTGTCTTCTCCTGAACTTCAAGCTGCAGTTTTTTTAGCATGGTTGCAATAACACAAACTTGTGGAACTAATAATAATATTTTTAGGTAATTTATTCTTCCGTAGTATATAAACTATTTACACTAAAGGTATGAAATATTTTAGGATATAGTGTTTAGATAATTTACTTAATAACTGTTCATTTTATACGTAACAGAAAACTTTAGAAATGCTGCTCCTGACTTCATCAAATATTTATCCACACTTAGTTTCATAGCAAATTCTGGTTTTCTCTGAAACAGTAGTCAACTTGCTGACCAGAAAACTGGATTTTTCCTAAAAAATAGAGAAAGGTTTAGTTTTAGTAATGGTAGTTTGTAAGCATCATGTGAAATTTCAATAATTTTCTGTTTTTAATTAACAAAATGAAAAAGTCATAATGATATCATAATACCACTTGTTTTCTAAGAAACATTTGTCCAGTTACTTGTTCGTTTATTTAGACTAATACCATTTGTTTTCTACTAAACATTTGTCCAGTTGCTTTTTTGTTATTTAAAAAATCGAAAAAAAAGAGACAGAATCTTATTATAATGGAGCTTGCGATGTATACGTCTAAAATACTTCAATAAAATCTACTCTGTGATGATAGCTCATTTTTTGGCTAAAATTTCAATAAAATCATTTTCTCATGGATGGTGAACATTATTGAATGTCAAGTATGAGTACATTGTTGTAGAACTATCAGACAATTCCAGAAAAGGCTGCAGGAACTAGCAGTTATACCTGCCCGGAGAGCGGGTATTTCTGCTAGTATAAAAATTAACAAGAAGAAAGAAACCAGAGATTAGAAGAACAAGAAAGAAAATTTAAAATGCTTTTGTTCATTTGTTTTCTGGTTTGGCTATTAGTGCTAGCTATCCCTAATTTTGAAGTAATAGAGAAAACAGCTAGTGAAAACCAACCACCAACATCTCTTGTGCTACTATTTATCAACAAATAGTGGGATATACGATCAAATTATAACACCCTCACGGCTGAAAGGGCGAGCATGTTCGTTGACGGGATTCGAACCCGCAACCCCCAGATTATGCGTCCAGTGTCTTAACCTCCTGGCCAAATTTATAGAAGACAAAAAAGAAAGAGAAAGAATCTAAGAGAGGAAGTAAAAGAAAGACATGTATTAACATAAACGTAATTGAAAACAAGAATTTTTACAAGAATAAAATTGGAGAAGTACAGAAAAGCTGTAATAGCAAAGTTGAAGAAGTACAAAAATACATCTATGAAGTACAGGAATATTATAATATCTAAATTAATTAGATAGAAAAGAACATCAATGAGACAATAAAACATCTGAAAAATGAATTAGTGAATGCAAAAAGTACACCAGCTATACTTTTTTTCTGTATTTGCCCAATAAATCCAAACTAAAACAACATTAACTGTAAAACTGAAAGTAGAAGAAAATATTTCGTCCACACCTGCTACCACTACTTCTGTGTCATCTGTGAATTCAGGGCCCTTCCTGAACTACTCCAGCTATTTCACTGCCAAATCCTGTTTCAGACGTTTGTTGGCATGTTCAACAACATTGCCCAATCGAGAAACCACTGGACTATAGTACCATGAGTGACGTACCAAATTCAGTTTAAAAACATTTCCAGAGGTTAATGGTTGGAATAGTAAACAATTTATTCATTCTTCTGCCAATTTAAAAGGGCAAGTTTTAACATCATTGAGCAATCTTCCAGTTGAGAGTTGTAACAAATATCAAGCACTAGCAGTTGCCCTATCTATCAAGTTTGAAGTTAGATACCAAAAGGACATCCTACAGAGAAAAAAAAGATACCTTAGCTGAACTTGCTGAAGAATTATAAAGGCTCCATATGAAATGATGGATTCATTGACGTGTCATCAATATATACAATATCAATAGATACTATAGCAAAACGAGAATATGCAAATTAGATTGTAGCAAAATAGGTGGAGATCTTTAAGGGAACTCTCTAGTTGTTGATGGAGCTTGAATTCATCAAAATCACAGATAAATAACTAAAGGCACCATCGATAAGTTATGTGATCATCAGATTGAGTAGTATAATCTAGAAGAATTTAAAGGATTAGTTAGACAATTAGTTACACAAAATGGAAGACATAAATCACAATAAAATAGGGGTTACAACTACATGTTTTTCGAAACTGCACAAAATCTCCTCCCAAAGAATATCAGAAAAAGAGCCGCATAATCAAATCTGTGGAGATGTTACAGCTAATCAGTGCTATATGTTATGACTTGCTCACAGAATATCAATATAAATTCTTCAATGGACCGCTATGGTTAGGCCAAAAATAAAGTATATTGTAAGATCAATACTAGAAATGCAACACCGATATGTCAGTTAACCAGACGAATCCCACTTGCAAAACAGGATGAAACTTTCAAAGACACAAAAACTGTGAAGGAACAAAGAGAAAAAGAACCAAGTACTGGTCCTGGGGTAATAAGGTTCTACATGGACTACTAGGTGATGAATGAATTTAAAAATCAGGATGCCAATTCATTACAGAGGTTTTATTCTACTTTGGATGCTTCATCTGGGTCAAAATTGTTTTCAAAATGGGATCTGAAGCATGGATATTGGCAAGAGCAAGTCAATAAAGCAGAAGCAAGTAGAGAGAGGACAGTCTTAATCGAAGAATGTGGATAGTAGCAATTTGTTTTATCATTTGTATAAAGTAATACGTCTGCTAAATTTCAATGAATAACGGAGTGTGCTCTCTCTGAAGTATTCTGGAACGTCGTACTCATCTAGTTGGGTGATACAATCACACATGGGAAGACTTTTGATAATACTTATGAAGATTTGTGGAACGATCTAGATCATTTGAGAAAAAATAACCTTAAACTGAATCCAAAGAAGAATTGTTCCATAACAGTTGAGCTTCCCGGGGCACAGAGAGAAGATATTTCTACAAACCCATCTATGTTGAACCTGTACATAATTGGCTAACATCAAAGAACCTGTGTGAGATAAGATGATTTCTGAGATTGTTTTTTTATTATTGTCGTTTTGTAAAACTTTTTCTCTGACATAGCTCATTTGTTTGCAGAAATTACTTGAAAAACTAAATGCGTGTTGTTGAACAGCTAATTGTGAGCAACCATTCAAAAATCTAAATAAAGAATTAAGCACTATTCCTGTATTAACCCAACCCTTGAAAATGCCAGTGATTTTGCTGTGTTGAAGCACCACTTGACGGAGTTGCTGTCAATGTCCTTGGCTCTCAATTGGAATAGATACATCATAGTTGTGATGGACTGTTTCATCAAATTGACAGAATCATCTGTTGTTCATAACCAGGAAGCAGAAACTATATCAGGGAAAAACATACATGAATTTGTTTCAAAATTTGGGGTATCTTTGGAACTTTACTCAGATGGAATTTTGAATCAGCCTTATTTGAAGAATCCACCAATAACCTATCTAAGTCACTGTAAAGTAAGGTGGAAGAGCACAAGAATCCACCAATAACCTATCTAAGTCACTGTAAAGTAAGGTTGAAGAGAACAAGAATCCACCAATAACCTATCTAAGTCACTGTAAAGTAAGGTGGAAGAGAACAAGAATCCACCAACAACCCATCTAAGTCACTGTAAAGTAAGGTGGAAGAGAACAAGAATCCACCAATAACCTATCTAAGTCACTGTAAAGTAAGGTGGAAGAGAACAAGAATCCACCAATAACCCTTCTAAGTCACTGTAAAGTAAGGTGGAAGAGAACAAGAATCCACCAATAACCCTTCTAAGAATGGTGACCCCCTAGCGAAAATAACTGCCAAAACCATCAGCTGTTTGTTATTATATGAATTTATGAGTTTAAATAAAGAAGAACGTAATAATACCTCAACAACACTATATCTACTATATCCACTAAACATTTTGTTCAATATCGGGGCTTTAGGCCGGCTGGGATATCCCAAATGCAGTAGTTTTATCTGTTTGTCATTTCATCTCAGCCCATAGGTCTGGAGGGCAACAAGACGGTTAAGCCCTTTATTCGGCCACGAGATAAAGCTTCAGAGCATAGTGGCTATAGCTAATGGATGACCAGGTGTACATGTGACTGTAATGAAAAGGATTCTGAATCAGAAACTGAAGGATATAAAATAATATCCGTCAAAACTTTAATTAATCAGTGATGAAGGTAAGCAAGATATGATCAATATTCAGAGGCATTTTTCATCTGGAAAGCAGTCTATTCAGGATAACCTTCCGAAAGGAGTAACTCATAAGTGTTTGAAAGATCTCCAGCTGGAGGAAGCAGTTTTCGTGGAAGATGAATCTGAGAGTTTACGAGTCAGAAAGGATGAGATTGCGCGACTGGAAGCTGCATGTGATATGAAGCTTCTGTAGATGGTTAAGAACGTTAAGAAATATGATGCAATCATATAACTCCTGGGTTGGGCTGGGTAGCTTGAATTTGAAGGCCAGCTGGTCCCGTGTTGTTCTGGGAGTGTACGTCTTGCATAACAACAAGAAGAAACAGATATCCGTGAGGTATAACCATAGCTAATGCAAGGACGAACGAAGATCTTATAAAAATAGAGGTCGATTCTAACCTCTAATGGTTCTATTCAGTGGTCTAGGCATTCTTTAGATCACGAACTGTTTCGGTGTTAACTAGATTATGTTATTGAACTGTAAATTTGATCAATCTTAGTTATGTCATTACAAATCAGAATTGGATTTATTATTTTTATTAACACCAAATTATTTGTTTATTTTTATATCAAAATATTCATTTTAACATTAATTTATTCATTTATTTTAACATCATATTATTTATATATTCATATAATATACTTTACTAGAATTCAACTCTGAAGAACTGGCGGACCAGTAAGATAGTCGTTTTTTTTTTATCCAGGAGTTGGTCAAGTGACCACAAAGTCAAAGGGTGAAACGAGTAAAAGTAAAGAAGAAGATAGTAATATGTCAACCACACTATCTCTGCTATAGTTAGTGCCTTTCTGCAAATACCAAGGCTCATCGGGCAGATTGGAATACAATAAACATATTAGTGGTTTGCAAACTAATCATAACGAAAAATGGCTGGTCCAAACAAGAAAATTTAAAACAGTAATTATCTGATATGGAACTAATTGTTAGTGTATTATTCATGATTCACATGTATAAAAGTGATATATTTTCTCACCGTAAAGCATTAGTAGTGTCCAAGAAGAACAGGGTCGTTTGCGGCAACCTCGGGCTGAAAGCCATATCCTACTCCAAAGCCAAACCCATAGGACCTACCATGACCGTATACTGGTTCGTAGGGATCTCTGTAGCCAGAGTATAGAGTATTGTCGTACAGATAGCCTGCTAGAACATAGCTCACCATCCACACCAAGATAATTGCGAGTTGCTGAAATTCAGTGTAGATAAATAGCACTTCTTAATATTTGATATAATTATTTAATGATCTTATACAATGAATGTCTCAATACTTAATATTAACAAATTTAACTATTAAAAAACGTCTTCATAGCAACGTTGTAGATACAGAACGGAGTCTCAACCTGACATTCTATGGGTTAAAATATGACTCTCACTCCACCGAGATTTACAGATAAGGACTACATGATTTAGAGGAGATATGTATATTAAATTAAGTTTCCACAACTCCTTTGTATGTTTCAGAATTTGAAACATTACAAATACCTTGCTGAGGTTCACTTCGTTCAGAAATCAAAGTAGCTTATTTATCCCCAAACAAGCATAAAATGTCCTTTAAAAGCCTCCTCATTATTTATAGGGGCTCCATTGTTCCGATAAATCACCACCACTACCCCCAATTCTTTCTGTAGCTATTCAAGAGGGAAGAGGGTCCATACCTGAAAAAAAACTCGTAGGACATCCGTCCGTGGTACCTAATCACACTTTCCCCAAGGGGAAGAGCAGAAACACAAAGTTTGATGCCAGAATCAAGCTCAGCGACCCTGAAAACCTAACATTAGACCTCTCATGCCTATGTGTCTTCCAGCAGTGTCATATCTCCTTAGGACTTCTCAGTGAGAACAGAGATAAGAACAGCCCGGGCTACCTACCCCGAGTTCACCTACCAAGAATGGTCCTGCTAGCTCCAACATTGTGGAAGTTTTAGGTCGTCAAGAAATTAATGTCGCGTTTTCGAACACTTAAATTAACCACCTCCCAAAAAAACGTACATCACGTATAATAGTTAAACGAACCGCCTAAACGTCACGTTAGTGTAGCCTGTATAATGTGTAAAGTTTAATATACTCTAATCCCTTATAGTGATGGCACACAACGAGTCTGTCAGTGCTGTCTGACTACAAGAAGGGAAACAATGCCTCTGTAACGATAAAGTATATCAAAGAAGTTTATGGAAATGTTTTGAACGTTCGTAAGTGTCAACGATGATTCAACAAATTTCGTTCAGGTGACTTTAGCCTTAAAAACTGTGATGGCAGGGGCCGGCATGTTGGAATTGATATTGATGCTCTGAAGACGCTTGTTGAGTCTAATTCAAGGCAACACACTCGTGAAATGGCCCT